CTGTTAGTTTAACTGCTTCTATTGTTCTCATTTGTAAGTCGCTTTGGATAAAAGCGTCTGCTAAATGAATAAATGTAAATGTAAATTTATATTTATGTGGTTGTGACTATTGTCGATGTGTGTATTTTCAGGTGAAACATAACAGGTTCTTTGTGAATATTAGATAGTCAAGCATCCAGAATACATCAACATTTTTTCTGAAGCAATGTAGAAGGTGATGTTTAAACTACAAATTAATGCATGTATAGTTGCCTCCAGCTTATATCCTACAAAAAGTTCCAAATAGGACATTTATGAAAAGTCTGGGCTTTTCACTTTGAAGGCGCGTTGCAAGAAAAAACACGCTGTATCATAAATGATGTATCTCAGCCATATTGTAATGTGTTTGCAATTTCTCTGCAGCATGTCTGATACTTAGCAGTAGTATCTGAGATGGTCTCAATCGCCTGCATATAATGTTTTGCTGCTGCTCATGGCAAAGATTGATTCTGGGTTGCTGCACAACTACAGCTGGAAAATTATCTTCGTCATCATCAGTCACAGGGAAGTTGTCTATGCCATGTTGTGCCAAAAGTTATTGTAGAGTTTGTTTCTCTGGCAGGAAGACAATTTGCAGGGACATCTTGTGGACATCATCATCTGGATCAAGGACCTCAGAATCCTCAAGAGTGTAGAACAAGGTTGTACTGGAGCACATGCAGGAAAACATCTCTCCAAAGCCACTCTATGCGCTGATTATGAACAGATTATCCTGTTATGTGACTCCTCTGTTCCACCCCTTGAACAAGATTCATGAAGAGGGCGATTTGTCAAGTCAAGTCACATTTATTTATATCGCGCTTTTTACAATACAAATTGTTTCAAAGCAGCTTTACAGAGATAACAGGAAAATACACAGTCCAGCTTAAAGATGCAGTCCACAGTTTTTCCTCTTTGTCGCCACCTCTGTTCGAAATCCGCAATTGCAGTCATTCGCAGAATTATCAACTTTATGTGAGTTGTACCTCGGCATGACACAGCACGGATGAATCCAATGTTTTGAGGAGAATGTGCAGCTGTCAATCACTGTGCCGGTGTGAATAGTGTCATTCGCAATCACAGATTCTACTTTTTGAAAGTATGACCAACATAAGAATTTTCACCCTAAAATGTCGTCTGAACAAGTAAGTAACATCCACTTTTGCTCTAGACCAACTAACTGAAAAAAAAGTATTGCAGTAAATCGTGTTGATTAAATCTAACGGTCAATTATCAAATCACGTCAAACCGTGCAAATTATACTTTGTTCTCAAATTGTTAATGTTAACAACATCAGCATTGCGTGACTACATTTAAAGCCCTTCAGATATTATCCTTGGTTTCGCATGGGTCCGGTTGCAGTCTCTTTTTCCAAACTCTCAGTTCAAAGTCTTTTGCATTTTACAGCGGGTGAATCTCTAGTTGTCACTGGTGATTGTCGTTTGAACCTTTCTGGATCCGCCATCAAATTAATACGTTTAATTATATCAAGTGCTGTGAGAAAAGTGCTGTGACATCCTCACACGCAACATAGCTTACCGGTATACTAGCTGTGACAGATATACAGATGTGACGTAATGACGCAAAGACATGCACGAATCTCCCGCGGAAATCCATCAGTACCACTGGAATTAAAAACATTATTACAAGCTTACTGTTTTGAATCGAGCTAAGGCAAGCAGAGAGTTTTGAACATTGGCTGGTTATGTACTTGCTCAAAAATTTATTTTGGATCATTTTAAACCCCAAAAAGTTACAGACTGGAGCTTTAAGTTCAGTGATGTTTCATGTTTGTTGTAAAAAAGTTATTAATTTAGTTAATTTTTATATATAGCCACTCTGAAGAAAACCGTGATGTCATCGTCCAGCTCAGTTCAGTTCTCATATAATGTGTCATTGCAGGCAGATCAATAATACTGTTGAATATTGAATTAAATGTCCCCAACTAAGCAGGCCAAAAGCCAATGGCGACAAAGGCAAAAAAGGCGACAGTGGCAAGAAACCCAAACTCCATCAGGTGACAGAATGGGGAAAAAAACCTTAGGAGAAGCAAATGCAAACATTTTTGGCTCTAATGCAAAAAAAAAAAAAAAAAAAAAGATGCTGGGAAAGAGCGGGATTGAGGTGATTTACTAAATATAAGTCAAAAAGACCTTAGAAATATAATAGTAGTCCAAGTTATTGTGTGAAGTGTGGAGGTGATGAGTATTGATTTCTGTTTTCTGTGGGGCTTTCTGATGATACACCGAACATAGGCCATTAAGAATTTAGCTACAATAAAAGATCAGATTCAGTTCAGGTTCATCAAAAAGGCAGTTTTCTTTGACGTTGAAAAAGCATTTGATATGGTTTGGAAAGAAGGATTAATGACTAAACTTGATTATTATGAAATTTTATATGAAAAACTGGAAGGATTGATATTGGCTACAATTTGGGAATAATATGAAATTATAAAATTATGTATTTTCTTAGGTCCTAGGAGATATTGGGCGATCATTGTTCGCTGATGACGAACTTTCAATTCAATTTTCTTTTAAAATGTAATTTTGCTATTGACAAAATAAAATCCGATTAAACTGGCAAACTTCCATAAGGAAGGCACTGCTGGCTTAGCAATTATAGAATTATATTAAAGTTAAAGAAGTATCTGAGTTAATGAGTTACTTGGACGTTTCAATTTGAATATGGAAGACTCGAATACTCCATCTTTTCTTTGAATGTGAATATTCTAGAATGTTTTGGTTGGATGTCTCTAACTTCATTTCTAGACCGTTAGGAACATTAAGACAATTTGATTTAAATGATGTTATATTCTTTTTTGTACAGGATACCATTGATTCCAAAATAACAATCTTTTTTCTCATTCAACTTTTTATTTTACTTGGAAATTATCACATTCATGTGAAGAAATGGGCTAAAGCTAAGCCAAATTGTGAACATTTTATAAAAAAAATTAAACAATACAGTACTATAGAATATATTAAAAAGCAAAAAAAGACTTACGAAGTGTTTCGTCACTTTAACTTTTTGCAATATTTTACCCCTGGCATAAATTGGTTATACACTCTTCAGATGTATATTTGTTTCCATATTTGTTGTGAGTTGTATATGTTTGTACAAATGTTGTATATTTTTTTTGAATGTATTAAACACCAGAAGCAGAAAAAGACAGGACTTTTATTTTGGTCTGGTGATGTGACGTCACAAGGCTGCGCCACGGTCCTGTGTCTTTAATCTGGCTAAAGAAAGGTTTGTGCGTTTAGTCAATACAAACTGTTAAAACTTTTTTATAGTTTTTATAATAACTGATATAACGCAATTATTATTGAAAGTAACACTGTTATGCTTTATCTAACATTAATGTAAGTTATTTTTGAGAGTAAAGTGCTTCAGCAGAACAGAAAATGTGCGTCTCATTTCGCTCCTTGTATTATGAATCAGACTGTAATGTTACATCCTAAACACGAACTCAGGCACTGGAAAATTAAAATCGGAAGTGAGCATCCCTATGCTTTTTTTTAGTTTGTGTGATTTTTTGTTGTTGTAATGCTTTATTTAGTAACAAAGCACAACAATTAAATACAAAATAGCAATAATTAAAATAAAAATAACAGCAAGAAAATCGGTAACAATATTATAAAATACATATAGTAATAACAGTACAAATAAATAACACAAAGAAGAAGAACTATATACACAAGGGTATTGAAATCAAATCCATAATATTACAAAATAAATACACAGGTCCTTAAAAAGGATAACATTTCATGGCTTTACCACAATCTATAGTCTTTTTTTGCTTTGGTGTTCTTTACACCCTCCAATGATTTAAGATACTGACAAAGCTCAAACTTAAATTGTTTAAAACTATGTGTATTTATTGACCATCAACATATATGAATGTGATATTTCCCTAAAATAATAAACAAATTAAGATCAATAAAAAAACATTTCTAAAGGCTTTTCTTTTTAACATATGAAGACACAACACTTGCATAACTAATAATCATAACAACTAAGAAAAATAAGAAAGGAGTTGCAGGGTATTAGAGTTGCATCTAGAAATATTAAATCTGGGAGTTGTTCCAACAGGTCATTTAATTTAAGTATTGCAATCGTTACACTGTATGAACCGCTCTGATAAAATTATTACCAAAGCCAAAAAAAATCAAGTGTATCCATCATGAATGCATGGTCAAAGGCTTTATAATAATCAATGAATAATATATAACTTTCATCCTAAATTAAGAAATGACAAATATTATTTCCAATATATCTGCCACGCATAAAACCAGACGGGCAGTCATCAATAATTTTATCCAGACAAAGTTTCAATCTCTCTGCAAATATTGTCGATAACATTTTAGTATCATTATTAATTAATGAAATGGGCCTCCAGTTTTCAATACTAAGTGGATATTTACCTTGGAATAAGGGTTATTAAACTCTGATTGTTGTTTGCAGCATTTTCTCAGCTCAGCTTCCAATATTTCCTAAAATAACATGTAAAAGGAACACAGAGATATCTTCCTAAAAGGTTTTTATTAAATTAAGCGGTTAAACTGATATTACTGTGATTTATTATTCTTCAGTTTGGCGTTATTTTGATCAATTTCATCCAATATTAAAACTCCTATCACACATTTTTTTGAGTCTTCATCTAATACTGTAGAATTTATTTTAATACTATCCAAAATACCTTCATCTTGTATAATTTTGTATAAAAGCTTGTTACAAACTGAGGGACCTTTGAAACTTTAGCATCAATCCTAAGTCTTTTTAAGGAGGACAATTCAGTATTTCTCTTTTCGAGATTAAAGGCCACCTATTATGCAAAACTCACTTTTACATGGTATTTGAACATAATGTGTGTTGGCAGTGTGTGTACACAACCACCCTTTAATGATAAAAATCCACACAGTGTGTGTGTTTTTTTTTTTGTGTTTTTTTAAATCCCCATAAATCATAAGCACGGTCTCAGAACAACCCGTTCTTAGATTCGGGGCAATGTGACGTACTTTTGCACAAGGCCCTCCCACGACAGTTGATGGACACTGCAGTTTTAGCGTTGACCCGCCCTGAGTGAGCTGTACACAGTCCGCCATTGATTCGACGCTGGAGCAGCTGTAGACAAGAATGTCTTCTAAGCGATTGAGGTGTTTTGTTGTTGGATGTAAGAATGAACACATCAGTCGTCATTTACTCCCGACATCCGAGCCGCTGAAGACGCGGTGGATTACTTTTATTTTTGAAGGGAATGTGCCCCCTAATCTACCTAAATGCGTTTATGTTTGCGCAAATCATTTTACACCACACTGCTTTGTGAATGAGGGTCAGTACAAAGCAGGGTTTGCTAAAAAATTGATCCTGAAGGATGGATCGGTACCAACTCTTCGTTATCCAGCTTCACCTGCAGAAGTAAGTGTCACACTGTTTATTTTGTATGATTTTTGAGCAAATTGCCATTTCAGTCGATGTGCCCGTTAGCTATTTCCACAACAAATGTTGCTAAAGCTATTGTTGTCTTAGAGAGTAGGGACCCTATTATACACCCAGTGCAATGCAGCGCCAAGTGTGACTCAAGTGTTATTTGCTAGTTTCAGCCTGACGCAGTTATCATTTTCACGTCCTGCGCCACGTTGTTTAAATGGCAAATGCATTTGTGCCCATTTGTGTGCCCATGGGTGTGCTGGTCTGAAAACGCGGTGTGTTCAGGCGCATTGTTGGCGCGTTGCTATTTTGAGGCAACAGAAATAGACTGCGCCATTGACCAACTGACACCTGGTCTAAAGGTGAAATATTTCTTTTTTGTTATTTAAAGAGCGCGTTAGTAATATGAGCCTATAGGCGGGTCCACAATGCGCGTACACTCTGGTTATTACACACACAGGGACGCCCAGCAGCACACAAACATGCCAAATATTAGAAATAAAAGGATTACAATTTAAAAGATTAATATTGTGTACATGAAGATATGGTGGAATCCGGCTTGTCCCGTAGATGGCCTGCTTGCGCGCTTTAGATCCATTTCCTCTCTGGAGACGTGTTCGGTTTTTCCACTTGCAAATTCCGACATGTAAATAGCGAATCTGCCATGGCGCGAGCGCAACTGGGAGATGAGACTCTGATTGTTTTTTTGCACGTTACGCTCAAAACACACCCATTACCCATTAAGAGAATAGGGACAACCCTTTTAGAACATGCTCCGGGTGCACCTACCATTTTTCCCGTCGTTAAACTAGCAAAAGTGGATTCGGGCACGCACTAAGTGCACTTGCGCCCTTCACTTTAGACCATGCGCTTAGATCATTAATATAGGGCCCTAGATGTCTGTCGTCTATTTTAAACCTTGTTTATTATACTGTATAACCACATGTTTATAAAGAACAGTAGAAAAGGTTATTGTCTTGAAAAAACTGTGTACGTTAAAAACGTTTGTTTATTTGCAAAGGCCAGCACATCTACACAGAGCCACAGGTCGAGGGATGTTGGCGTCCAGACAGAATCATCACAGCTACACAGTTTTGTCACACAACCATCAACGAGGACATTTCAAGCACACCACAGGAGTATCGGTATGTTGATGGTTTTAGTTATATTTGTTTTGCACAGTAGCCGCAATAGAGAATGTTAATCTACCTCGTTGTGCATTGCATACTAGGCAGTGAGCGTCATGTTTGTGGGAGCCGCTCAGGAGTGTACAATGACAACAAATACAAATCACCAGTGGAAAAAAGTCTGTATTTACGTTAAAACATTGCAAGAAGTGCTTGCACTTGGTTAAAATAAAATGAGTAATATTGGAATGTCTTGCATATGAGCGCTTAGTCGTCAGTCTGCCATACACTCATATAAATCCTACGTAGCTTTCAATAAATAAAACGTGACCATGATGTTTCTGCTATATTAAATAATAACTACAATATAGCTTGATGTTTGCCAGTGGATGATTTATTCAATCATCATATCACCCTAATTTCTTAACGTTAAATGATGTGCCATAACACTAAAACCTTGCTGCTTTATACATTCCAGGTGTCCAGACAACTATGTCAAGTTTTGAACTTAGCATGGCATCAGTTTCTCATACAGCAGTTATGTCTTCCACACCACTCAAGACTCCATCAAAGAGACCTCATCTGGACCTTGAGGAAGAGGGATATGATGAAGATACTCTCGATGAATGTTCTTCTATACTAACAGCACAAGAGACTGATGTCACATTCAATCACACATCAATAACAGAGCCAAAAGGCTTGTCGTAAGTTTCTATCATGTGCAGATGGTTTAGAATGATGTTTGTTTTAATCATAGCAACCCTCACGTTGTGCTTATATGCATGCATATTTTTTCAGAGCTCAAGCATCCAGTCCTGTTCAAAACATTAGTAAATATATTGTCTATGAGACCTGCATCATGGAACTGTTCGAGTTGTGCCCTGTATGTCAGAGAAGCTGTCATGTACGATCGCAAAGGCTTGGGACATTTCTACGTGTTGAACAACTCTGCCACCACTGTCGGTTCTCACGGAAATGGAACAGTCAGCCAATTTTGGGCTGTACTCCAGCGGGCAACCTTCACCTTTCTGCTGCCGTGTATCTCTGTGGTGCTTCATTCTTCACCCTTGAAAAAGTAATTGAATATCAAATAATTCATCGAAATGCAGTTACAGAGACTAAACATGTATAATGTCAAAGATGATTACATTTAGTCATTTATTACTTTACTGTATAGCAACTTTACTGTTCTCTATGTTGTCAGATATTTGCAGCAATGAAGCTACAACTTTTCAGGTACGACACCTTTCGTCGCCACGGGCGAATGTGGATTGAGCCTGCTATTCTTCACAAATGGAGAAACTGGCAGGATGAGATGCTACAGCAGTTAACTCGAAGGGATAAAGTCATTGTTGGAGGAGACATGAGGGCTGACTCACCAGGTACATTGTGGGAAAAAATTAAGCCTGTTATTGAAAATCCCTAAAAAAGAACGTTTGATAGGCTTGAAAAAGAATGATAGACTTTTCGCACATCTACCAGACAAGGCATAGTATGTAATGAGGAATTATGTAACATTGTTTTTAAAGGGCACTCTGCCAAGTATGGCAGTTACACAATGATGGACCTGGAGACGAATACCATTGTTGACGTACAACTCGTCCAGGTAACCTTTGTAGCAACATGCTGGAAGATTTGTGTTTTTAATTAAAAGACTCGTTATACTACGTTTTTTTGACAGAGTAATGAAGTGGGAGGAAGTTACCACATGGAGAAGGAAGGTCTGAAGAGAAGTCTCAACTTTTTGGACGCTCGTGGTGTGACTCTGGACTGCATTGTGACTGACCGGCACCCGCAAATTCAAAAATTCCTCAGGGAGCGCAATGTTAACCAGTTCTATGATGTCTGGCACATAGAGAAAGGTATATAACCTTACTACCATTCATATAATTTTCAAGAGTTTTACAGACTAATAAATGTGATAATACTGTAATAGCGGATGTTTCTGCGTCACCAATAACAATGTAATAGAGGGGTTTCACGACGCGTCATCAATCCGGAAGTCGGCCATTTTGGAGGCACAGAACGTAAATAATGCCACTGAACTGAATGGACTCGCAAATTTGGCTGATTATTGCTGCTGAAAAATGGTCGAGTTTTGGTCTGTACCAATCGGTCACATAGGGAAAAAACATGTCGAGTGCTATAGACTGTCAAAAGTTAAAGAGAAGAGTGCAAAAAACTGATGAAAGAAGGCGTTTGTGGTTGAGAGAGGTACAGCATCAGACACGTGTAAATGAAGCGTTGACTATGGCTAAAATGTCGACGTAGTTAACTATGGCTACATTCACACTGTCAGTCCAAATCCGATTATCTTTGTATCAAATTGGAATCTGATCTAAAATGATGTCCACACTGTGTATCGCAAATGTTCAGATCCGACGTGTGTGTCCATACATGTTATTTGGTAATATGACAATGACTTTGCGTTGATGGAGGGGGTTGCATTTGCAATATAATGTTAGATGTTGTCTTATTTAAAATGTTACAACATGGAAATGTGTAGCCGCCGCGCTGGACTACTGCGGCAGAACTGTAGGAGGCTGGTATGTACTGCTTTTTTCCCACGCTCGTCTGCGCCGGTTTCAGAAATAATACTTTTCTGCTCGTCCGGCACTTTCCAACAACACAGCATTGTTTCGGCAGTGACTTTCAGCATGTTTCCTGTAAATGACGTTTGCATTTTAAGACATACCACGCGAAATCCGATCGTTCAGACTGAGGCTGATGTCCTGATATGTGATTTATATAGGATTTCAAACCACATATGGATGTAACTTGAAACGGATTTCATGTGCTTTTTTGGACTGATAATCTGAACGTATCCTATGTCGGGATAATAAATAGATGGAAGAATTGCAGTAATGTTACGTGCTAGAGAAGCTAACTCGTTCGGATCTTTACCACATATTAACTTTAGTTTGTCAAAACGTTGCGCTCTCTCCTACTTCCCAAGTCCTTCTCTATATGATTTCGCACCTACCACGTGTTTTTTCCGTGGTTTATTAGTGTAACAATGTGTTCAGTAGTACATAAACAGTGCAATCCATGCTGTTGTTTACATCCGAGTGCCTCCATAATGGCCGCGCATCCGGGTTACCGCCCAGAACGTGACGTTGGTGGAACCCCTCTATTGTTGTTGTTGGGTTTTTTAATATCCACCACATTGGTCCATTGGTGAGTGTTGTCATACTTGTATTTAATTGTAATCTCCAGGAATTTCAAAACAGCTGGAGAAAATTTGCAAGTTGAAGGGATGTGAGAAACTACGTAACTGGTTGCGTAGTATTAAAAATCACATCTATTGGACTGCTAAATCATCAAGCAATGGGCCTGAAAGAGTGGCTAAATGGACATCTATGCTGAACCATGTCCAAGATAAGCACACACATGAAGACACCAATTTTCCTGCATGTCTACATCCAACAAGGAAAAGTCTAAACAAAAACAAGTGGCTGACAGCTGGTATGTAGTCTAAAAAAGCTATGAAGTTAGTTCTAAACAAACTGTATGCAAAACATAAAGCTTGTCTTTTTTAGTCAAAATTAAATGCTTTTTCGGTTCTAATTTCTGATTAGTGTAATAAAAGAATATTTCCAATTCTTTAGGAACTCTAGCATATTACAAGTTGGAGAAAGTTCTCTCCAACAAGAGAATTTTGAAGGATGTGGCCAAGCTAAGTCCTCACTACCAGACTTCTTCCATTGGGGTTTTCCACAGTGTCATACTACGGTTTGCACCCAAAAATGTGGTCTTTCCATTTCTTGGAATGTTGTGCAGGTAATTATTGTAAAATTAATTTCACATTTGCATACACTGTTGTCATGTTATGTTGATAATGTATTTCTTGCTTTCAGACTGTACCTGGCTGCACTACACTACAACGAGAACGCCGGGCGTCCTCAAGCCACAACAGCAGCAGGTCAACCCCTGCTCAAAGTACAAGCAACTTTCAGTATGTATAACCTGAGTTTACTTACAAAATGTAATAGAATTGTACAGTACTTTTATAGCACTTTTGCTTATACAAACTACGTGAAAAAACAATATATTACTATCTACAAATAAAAAATGTCATATTGCACAGGATATATGGATGACCTGCTGGACCTCATATTTGATCAAGTCTTTGTGGATCCTGTACCATATGCGGATGAGGTCTTGAGGATCCCCATACCACCGGCATTGTGTCCAGAGGATGGCCGGCTTGCTTAGGATGAGGCCATCTCCAGCAGGGTGTCTGATTTTAAGATATAGGTGGTCGAAAACCTACATAGCTGCCCTAGGCATCGGTGAAACACTTGCTTCGAATACTCAGGACCACACAGGCTGAATCACAACTCGTACCCTTCGTCCCAGGAAACCCCAGCACCAGCTAACAAAGATCTAAAATCTGTAACGACTGACACACAGGGACATTATCATAACAGGGTTACATTTTTTTGTGTTTCTGTTTTACGTGTCTATCCACGCTGTCTGGAGTTTTAGTATTTGATATTTAATACATCTTTGCACAATTTTTTTGTTGATAAACATCATTTTTAAAAGTTAATTTATTTGTAAAGTTCATTGTCTTTGTAAATTATGTAAATAAATACTTTTATATTATGCAAGTTGTCATATGAATTTACTTAAGGATATAACAACAACAGTAAGGTACAGTGTTTGTGTTCATTCTGTATGTATGCTTGGTTTGAATAAAACCTTGGGAAATATGCTAAAATGTTCAGACTGATCTCATGAAATGGCATATGTATGACACGCCAATTCGTATTTCCATTTTTGGCGTGCTATCAACACGCATAATCGCTTTTCAGCGTGTTTATCAACGCCGTTGACTTAACGTTACATTACTGTATATATAAATATATGACCTACCCCAACCCCGTCCCTAAACCTACCCGTCACTGGGGTTAATGCCATTTATGAGTCTTCCCCTACCATCCTAGGAAAAAAAAATATTGCTCCACAGATGTAGATCTACATTTTGCTTCGTTTCGCTCGGACATTTAACGGCGTACACATACACGCAAAAGATGACGGTTCGTTTCGGCGTGGACATACACGCGGATAGCTCAAAATGCGTATAGATAACACGCCACTTGACTTGAAAGTGGCGTGTATGTTTACGCAAAGTCATGATGCCATGTTGAAATGTTTGTAAGATGACATGAAATAGACATTTGCAATCATATTCGCTAATCATTTACACACTGTTGTACTCAACGAAGTCGCAGGCAACATCACGTAATGTGAGGTAAAGCGTGCCTTCGGAGTGTGTGACTGGCTGCAGGCACGATTGTTCAATCCAATCACTGCTGCGCTGTATTACGCATGAGATTCACTACAGCAGAGAACGCGGAGAGTTCATGAGAGCGGTTTCTGCACGGTAAGCTGCGATGAGTTCAACAACGCTCGTAACACGAATAATATAGTTCATATACACACCGGAGCAAGCGCGTTTAACCCTCTGGGGTCGGCAATCAAGAGTTCTACTTCTAATTTGAAAAAACACATTGAGCTAAGTTTCGAATATCTGTTGTATTTAAGTATAATTAAGTATAATTTTGTATAATAAAATTCATCATATAATGCGCAAGTTTGTTCATGTATGGGTTTATCATGAGTGTGAATGTTTGACAACCAAAATTATTCTGCCAAAAATAGCAAAAAAAAAGCACTGTGATCGACACAGATCAAATCAATTTTACCGGACAATGCATGGTGTTTTTGATGACGCGATCATAGCAACCATGATAGCAACCAGCCTAGAGTAAAGGCACGCACACTTTATAATTGTTGCTGGTTGCTGTATGATGACTGAAATCATGAACTTGCCTAAACAATTACTAAAAATAAACTGCAGAATGTTATATTTTCTAATACACGCACAAATGGTATGTATTCTGTTAGCACTGCGCGAGCTTGCGATGCCATCTGCTCGAAAAACTTAATTTAGTTTACCAGGCTTCAAAGTGCATTAGGCATTACCTATCATCATCACTGCTAGATTTTTGTCCCTTACATCAATTTCGTTTAGCATATAAACGCATATAAACGCATTAACCTCCTTTCTGTTGACTTATTGAAGTGGATATTATTTTAATGTAACATGTTCTCAAATGGCGATTTATTCTTTTTCTTAAAACATCAGATTTATGTTTAAATCAAGTTTATTTTTTTAATTGCATGCAAAAATGATCAGTGGTGAAAATTGTGAGTTACTCAATTCTGAAGTCTATTCTTTTTACAGAGAAAACATCCAATGAAATTAAAGCAGTACAATGAATGCATCTTGAAAAGAAAGAACTCAGAAGAACAGAGGTGTGATTCAGCTGTGAAACAGATGAAGATTAAAGACTTCTCTGTGTCCTGCAGGCAGGTTACTCAGTCCACAGTTGACAGGCTTGTAGTTGATTTTGTCTGTGAAAGCCTTCAGCCCTTTACCGTAATTGAACTTCCTACATTCAAAAATCTAATCTGTACAATGCAACCTAGCTGTACAGTTATGTCCAGACCAACTGTGAAGCTGAGAATTGAGGAAGCAGCCACAAAGATAAAGAAAAACATCATTGCTGAGATGGCAAAAGTCAACTATATAGGTACCACTACTGACTGTTGGACAGCACGACAACGCAGTTACATTGGTGTAACAGCACACTGGATTGATGAACCTACTCTGGAAAGAAGGTCTGCTTCCATTGCCTTCAGACGCTTGAAAGGTTTACATACATTTGATTTTCTCGCAGGGACCTTGGTTGACATCCACTCGGAATATGGCATCTCAGAAAAAATTGTCAGAACGACAACTGATAGTGGATCAAATTTTATCAAAGCCTTAGAGTGTATGGTGAACAGAGTCAGCAAGAGTTAATTGATGCTGAGGCAGACTCTGCTGAGGCAGTGACACTGGATGATGAGAATGATGCAGAAGGATTTGAAGTTCAGGACACTTGTTCCATTTTAAACGCCAACAGTGGGTTGGAGTATCATCTACCCAAGCATCAGCGTTGCGCGTGTCATCTCCTTAATTTGGTGGCTACTGTGGATGCTTCCAAGGCAGAGGACAACAGTGAGGTATTTAAGAAGCTTTCCCGTTCAACATTTGCGAAATGCCAGGCATTATACAATAAAACCAGCCGGTCTGCCATCAGTGCTGAGATTGTGCAAGAAGAATGTAAGCTGCAGTTCATTCAGCCCAACCACACAGGATGGAATTCAGTGTACAATGCTGCAGAGAGGGTAATGCGGATCCTAAAGGAGCAGGGAGAAGCATCCCTTCGGAATGTATGTGCAGCATTCAAAATTAAAATGTAAGTCTGTTTGCTCAATCTCACTTTGTTCCAATTGGAATAGTAAAGGAATTGTTCACTTAACTGAAAACTGTCACTCACACCCCCGCAAGTTGTTTCAAACCTGTATGAATGTATGTCTTCTGTTGAACATAAAATAAGATATTTTGAAGAATGTCGGTATTCGGTAACCAAAAAGTTGATGGACCCTATTGACTTCCATTGGTAGAAAAAAAAATAATAATACTGTCAATGGGGTCCATCAACTGTGTGGTTACCAAAATTCTTCAAAATATCTTCCTTTGTGTTCAGCAGAAGAAAGAACTTCATACAGGTTTGAAACAACTTGAGGGTGTGTAAATGACAATTTTAATTCTTAAGTGAACTATTCTTTTAAGATGTTTGTGTTTTGATTTTGACTTATTTATTTATTAAATAGGCTAAATCCTGCTGAAGTTTCTTACCTCTCCGAATGCTGCATTGTGATGAAGCCTGTATCCATGGCCTTGAACATCCTTTAGTCCGAAACAAACACTCAGATGGGGTGGCTGCTTACCACAATCTACCTTCTTGATTCAAAGTAGGGCTGTCACGATGTTAGATTTTTCACACCACGGTTATTGTGGCCAAAATAATTCACGATATCGATATATCACGATATCTATAGAAACCTTGGGGGGAAAAATGTCAAATCAGTCAAATTAATTTTTACTTTGTTTATTTAATTTTTTCTTTTTTTGCATTTTTACTTCTTGCGTTCTTATATTTGAATGCACATTTTTGTGAAGTAAGACAAGCATGTGAAGTATATCTGGTTTCAAACTGGAGTGAAACACTGTCTGAATGTTTCCTGAAGAACTGAAAAGCTCTTAAACCTATTGTTGCACCGGTGCAAATCATGCAGATTTGAACAAAACAAATCAAGTGCAAATACAAAAATAAGACGAGTAAAGAAAACGGGGTACTTAATAATCACCCTTTATTTAAACGTATGAAAACAAAAACCCGCTGTTAACAGGTTAATGTCACATTTCCCATTCCATGACTAGTAAAATTATCGCAATTTACTCTCTGTAAAATAGCGTAATCCGCAGGGTGATGGACACGGAGATGGGTAAAAAGGTTGGTGGCTACACATTCTGCAGATTGGGCTTAAGGGGGTCGCACACCGGACGAGAAGCGCAGCTCAGCGTCGCGTGTAGCACACCTGATGCGCACTTTCTCAGTTCATGGCCAGCAATATTGTTATGTTTAAGGACATTATGAAATTAAGATCATGTCTGTACTATGTTATGATTGTACTGTACAATTAAATACAATCGTTGCTAAGTCTGCAGTCTGAACACTTTACCTCAGTCAGAGCGCATCCGTTAACTGAATGATTTGAGAATCTCACCTGAAAATCCGAGCCATAGCTTTAGCTGGGCGTCGCGGACAGACGCCGAATGGTGCCGGTGGTGTGTGTAAACTCCTAGAACATAATGTGTTCGAATTTTTAAGAATTCTCTGCGCTTCTCGTCCGGTGTGCGACTCCCTTTAAAGTGCTGTTTTCTTTGAAGCCCATACCAGAGTGGCTGCGCGGGCGCGCGCTGCGTCTTCTCATTTAATAAATGTCAGCGGGTGCAATACTGCCACCTCAACTGGCGCTGGAGTATCCGTGTCATGTAATCATAAAAGTCCTATTCATTTTAAACATCGTGGTTATCGCCAATACCGGTATATTGCCACACTCTAAATTAACACGATGTCGATATTTCAAGCTTTGAATATCACGATTATCGTCAATACCGGTATATTGCGACACCCCTAATTCAAAGCTCAAAAAGATGGAGGCTTCAGTCAAGGTATGTCTTTCCCTTATTCATGCTCTGCAGCGGGGTCTACAAAAGCGCTTTGGGGAGTTCATGGAAGATCCGGAACTCATCAGTGCTGCAATTCTTCTTCCCAAATTCAAAACGTCATGGACGGACAAGGCCCACATCATAAAAGCAGGTAAGATATTTTGTATAGGAGTACAGATTACCTGATGAAATTGATATTATGCCAATATCTGTTAAAGCATGAAAACATGCAGCTTTTTGTTTTT